TGGTACTGGTAAATCATTTTTAATAGAGGCAATAAAATGTCTAGTAAATGACAAATGGCATCCAAAAAGTGGTGAAATTATGTGTGCTATAGTAGCACCAACAGGTATAGCTGCATCTAATGTAGGTGGACTAACAATACATAGATTATTTTAGCTACCGATGGAGCATGAGGGAAAGACAGCTGGATATTGGGCTTTGAGTAAAGAAGCTCAGAAAAGAATAAAAATGACATTAAAAAATTTAAAAATTATAATAGTAGACAAGGTATCTATGGTATCCAATCTAAATCTAGCATACTTACACATGCGCTTAGAAGATATATTTGGAACTGATGAATGGTTTGCATCTAAGAATATTTTATTTGTAGGTGACCTCTTACAATTGCCACCAGTTAATGGTAGGCCAGTATTTAAAAAAAATAGCAACAAACGAGTAAAAACCAGACTTGGAGCAGCAAATGCAGTTAACATATGAAAAGAAACAGTAGAATATGATAAACTAACAATCAATGAGCGACAAAAAGGAGACGAAACTTTCTTTAAGATGCTTGATTCTGTTAGGCATGGCTGTCTGACTGATGAAACTATTGATACACTTAAGAGTCGCGTATTTAAGGTTTCAATACAAGAAAAATATAAAGAAATGGAAAGTGAAGGAACTAATCCTCCAATTTGCCTATTTTCTAAGGTAGACGCCTGCCAAAAAATCAATGAATTAATGTTAGAATGTCTAGAAACGGAGAAAATAGAATTAGCATGTGTTGATGTTGTTGATGAAAGTGGCAGCACAGCAAAATTTGACAAAAAACAAGAAAGAAATTAGAGAAACTAAAAAATCAACCAAGCAAAACAGCTGGTTTAGAAACAGTATTGTCTTTAGCAGTAGGCTGTAGAGTAATGCTAAGACATAATATTGATGTGACTGTAGGATTAGTTAATGGTGCCATTGGTACAGTAATGGGTATTTATGCTACACGTATATCAATCAAATTTGATCATATTGATGTACCTTGTGACATAGAAAGGGTTACATCTAGATTTATGCTATCTAAGAATTTGTATATACATAGGAAACAGTTTCCCCTTATACTTTCTTATGCTATTACTATACATAAATGTCAGGGCCTCTCACTAGATACAGCCATTATTGATTTATCTACTGATGTTTTTGGGGATGGTATGGCATATGTTGCATTGTCTCGTGTACGCACATTAAATGGCTTACATTTATTATCATTTGATCCTCTCTCTGTTAAAGTTAGTAATCTGTGCATTAATGAAATTAACAGGCTGAGAAGTAAATTTTGAAAAGACTTACTTCAAATCAAGAAAAGTGAAGGAAAGAAGAGAAAGATTCAAGTGACTGGTTTAATTGATGATGGTGAACCTTGTAGTAAGAATGCCAAGGTGTCTGTAAGTCATGTACAAAGTACTAGTAACAGTACCGTTAGTAGCAATAAACGTAAGAGTACTGATTTACAAGTCTAATCACCCCAAAAAGAGTAAAATATGTGACAATAATGCTTTAAATAAGCCTTGCCCCCAAAAAAGAAAAGTTGATGTAGACAGTAGTACTGACAATACTGCCTTGGCATTGCCTCGCTCAAAAAAAGATGATAAATTAATTGTTTCAATTAATTTGAAAGACCTAAAAACCAAATTTAATGTCAATGATGATGATAGTTGTAGTAGTCTCATTGTATCAATAAAACTCTCAAAGATTAAATGTAAACCAAAAGATGATAAAACCAAGTGTGTGACCATTGTAGTAGTAGTCTGATTGTACCTATAAAACTGTCAAGCATTAAATTAAAGACAAGTAATCCATAAAAAAAAGATGATGTCATCTTTACTTATGAAGAGCCTCCCAACCCAGATATTGTGAGGAGACAATGGGATTATGTTTATTACCCTGGTAATGAAGAATATCAAAGAAGGTGGTGTGAGATTTTAAATCTCAAATTTGTCACAGCTACTAGAATCTTACCTGGTAGTCCAACAACACCATTGTCGGATGAAAGAGTTCCTAATAGTACTCTTGATGTCCCTGGTGATGGGAACTGTTTATTTTATGCCCTTTCATATCTCATTACTGGGTCAATTTCTCAGCATTGCGAATTACGTAAAGCAATTGTTAGTAATATGCCAAACTTTGAAGAAGAATTGTTTAATAGTACATTAAGTGCAACCAGATATTCAAGCATATATGATTACATAAATAAGTCCAAAATGTATAGAAATTGTGTGTGGGCCACTGACACAGAGATTATTACATTATCTGCAATAATAGGTATAACCATATATTCATATTTACTAACTCCTACTTTTGTTGGCTGGGCTAGATATGGAACCCAAACTTTGTATGGCATTCCTTGTGATACTAATACACCTGCTTTGTATTTGAAGCATGTTGGTACTAATCATTTCCAAGCAGTTAAGTCTATTAATATTTCTTAAGCATTGATTGTTGATGGAAAGTGGGTATGGTGTATGGGAGGTCCATCATCTTAAAAACTTCGGTTGTTTAATGTGACTTATATTTCACTGCATGTGCAATGTGAATGATGTGTGAGTCTGAAAACCATTGGTGCATATCCACCCAGTATTGCTCAGTATCAAGGGAACAAACTGCTTTCAGGATGTGAGATTAATCAATGTATAACAGTGAATATTGAGTACTTGTTGCTATAATGGACAGGGAGAGGGTGTGAAAGAGGTTTGGTTTTCATTACAGTTTTGCGTTGATTCAAATTTGTGTGACTATCATTTATGTAGGACAGAGGGTTAGGAAGGGAGGAAGCTGTCATTATCAAATCTGGATCTTGTTTGTGGCTTGTAGTACATGTTTATTACAAATAACAGGTGCTTATGGATCAGGGCTCTGCTAAAAAATTGTGAAGTCCTGACAAGAAAATTTTTTAAGTAACATTAAAATTTGTTATTTTACATTTAGTATTATTCAAGCATTAATTCTGTATAAATAATAATGATCATCATGCATGTTAATGCTGCCATCAATGCTGTGCGCATTACATATATGTAAATGCTTGCCAGCTGATGTTGTGCATAATGCTGCCATCAATGCTGTGCGCATTATTGAGTTAATGCTTGCCGGCTGATGTTGCGCATTTGAATGATGCTGCCATCAAAGCTGTGCGCATAATAAATGCTTGCCAGCTGATGTTGCTCATCTGTTATTGATGATTGTTGTAACATTTGCATGTTCTCATTAACAAAAAAATATTGTTTGCACATTGGAAATACTTTAAGCACACAATGATATTGTATATTAAGCAGGTCATGAAAGTATCTTAACTGAGGATAGAATTAGTAAGCAATATTATGTCTAAAATACATGCATGCACATACATGTATGATCCAATTAGAAATTTTGCAGATGCTACAATTATCATTATTAGTTAGTATGTCATATTCATACTTTTTACAGGTACTTGCTTGGCACAAGGACTACAATGTGGTTTTAGAGGGTGAGGTTTGATGTGATTGGTAAGTGCTATTGTTATTATTAGCCAGTGAGTTTACATTGCTTGCTTTTGATGTTTCTATTACTATGCTTTACAGGTAATTACAGCTGGAATGATTTGCTGATTCAGCAATACCTTTGCTTATTATTGGAATGTGAAATATAATGAAAGGCAATTCTGTTTTTAGATTGTTGTAACTAAATTAATTTATTTATTAAACGTAACTTAATGTTTTGTTGCAGCTCCTTAATTAGTAGTTGTATCACACGGTAGGAGGTGCCAGTTTACATCTGTGTAGGTTTCATATTACTGTATATAGTCTTAGCAATGGAATATGTAGTAAGATGGAGATTATTGTAAGATATCTTATGTATTATGGTATAGGTTATGATTCAAGGTTACATACTTTATATTCATTTGATGATTACATCATTAATTATGGCCACAGTAAGTACTTTCTTTTCTCAATTGAAATGAATGCTTGCCAATGCATCTTTTGTTGTGTGCATGGATGTTCTCATTAACAATACAATAATAATTGTTTGCACATTGGAATGTATTCATGTGGTCTATTAATGTGTATTTGCACAATGCAGGTCTTGTAAAAAAAACTTAATTCAGGATGGCATGAGTCAGCAAATTGAACGGTGAATGTCTAAATTACATTTACTGTGTATGTACATATACTTGTATGATTCAATCATAGCTTAATATGCATTGTGGAGCGATACATGTCATATATGTGTCTTAATTGTTGATAAAAGCATGTATGCTACTGTTAATTTGTTAGTACATGTATAATTTCACATTCATAATTTACACAGGTACATATTTGTGACCGTAATTGACAAAAGGTACCTTATGGCGGATAGGAAAATTGGTCTTTATAGCCTAAAAAATCCAACTTCCTTAGCTCCATTTATCATAAAATTACTCAAGAGGATGCAAAAAGTTACTATGTAGCTCATAGAAACAATTGTTGACTAACAGAGCACTCACAGGTTCATATTTTTCATTAGAAAGATGAATTTTAAAATCCGCCATAAGGTACCTTTTGTCAATTATGGTCACATTTTACACAAGGACTGCAATGTGGTGTTAAGGAATAAGGTCAGACTTGGAAAGAGATTTAAAAGGTGAAGGGTTATTCCTCTTTGTGAGCAGATGTGTCTTATTTGTGTTTTGTAATGTATGTTTGTGACAAATACAAGCATATACATGTACATATTTAGTATAGCATATATAGCCTGTGTGTTTACATTGCTTGCTGTTGATGATGTTTCTTTCTTACTTTGCTTTAAGGTATTTACAGCTGCAAATGATTTAATGATTCAGCAATAAGGTGTAATAATACTTTCATAGCATGGCGAATGTCTAAGGCTATTGTCTGATTTCGTTTGTGGTAACTAAATTAATTTCTAATAAATAATCATCATTGTAACATTATGTTTTGTTGTAGCTCTTTGATCAGTGATGCTTTCACACTGGAGGAGGCGCCAGTTTCCAGCTGCACAGGTTACATATTGTCATAGTCTTAGCAATTAAATACATAGTAAGATAGAATATTGTGAGATTCCATAGTTTTTTATTATTGTGTTATAGAAGATGATCCAAGGCTATAATTGTTTTTGATGATTAATATTGATTATCTGATTAACTATGGCCACGGTACGTATTTTCTTTTCTCGTTAATATAATTAAGTAATATGTATTTGTATTGTAGGAAGGTTGAAGCTCAAGTATTGAATTGTTTTGCGTTGTTGAACAAACACACTATTTTTAAGAATTGCTTTTATAATTTCTGTTTTTGGCTTTACACTTCAAGATATTTGACTTCTATTATAAGTTTTTAATTTAAGAAAAGTTAACTTTATAGATCTACATGTACATAATAATTTAATAAAAGTTATAGTTCTTTGTCGTGTTGCCGTTCCTCCTGCCCCTGCCTCTGCCTCTTGGAAGATTGTTGTACTAAAGTAAAATGGAATAGAAAGGTGATTAATTGGTATCTATATAAACTGCAGATCATAACTAAAATAATCTTACAATATCTCTATTGATTTGGCATAGCTGCCATATAATGAGCTGCCTCTTCCATTGCAGAGCAGCAACGTCAAGAGGACCTCCAGCTCCAGCTGGATGGAGTGCTGGAGCAGCAGGGGGATGTGGCTAAGGACCTCCAGCCAGCAGTGGAGGACACAAGCCACTGGTGGCGGACCTCCAGCCAGCAGTGGCAGACCTCCAGCCAGCGATGGAGGACCACCAACAACTGGTGGAAGACCACCAGCTACGGGTGGGGGACCACCAGCCACTGGTGGCGGACCTCCAGCCAGCGGTAGAGGACCTCCAGCTACTGGAGGTGGCCGAGGAATTGGTGGTGGTGGTGGAGCATCTGGTGGTGGTGGAGGAGGACCTCCTTGATGCTCATCATAGTCCATAAACTATAAGAAAACATAGTGATAGCTAATGTAAGTTTTTAACTGAACTGACTTGCTGCTTTTTCAAAAAAAATTGCTAAGGAACACAGAGGATAAGTTTGTGAGCTGTGAGCGGGAAAATGGCAACTTAACTGAAGCTGAATGTAAACTTAAATAGTTTCAGAACAGGATATAGATCTTAGTAATGACAATAATTATAATAATGATTAAATAATTATTAGCTAGGCTATGAATATAATTTATGATTCAAAAATTCAAAAAAATAATGATTGCCATGAAAACTGTTTTTAAAATGCGGTAGGTCTTCGTCTTCATATGGTTCTTATTTCAAAATTCTTTCCTTCCAGTAATGAACTGATACCTCAGGCAAAAATTATAATAAGGATAATTAATTAATTAAATTTAAATTTAATGAAAAGTATGGAAA